GGCTGCCCCATTCTTTGCAGTTCACCCTAATTGAGTGACCACAGCTGGCTCCCTACTAGGACCCCGGTCACAGCATCCAAAGCCAGAACACAACTAACCCCGTAGGGGCCCAGTTCAGCCCCAGCACCCCACTGGCTGCAGATAGTGACTTTGGTCCAGTTTTCAGGGGTGCAGTAGGGGCTCCTGGAGCGGGGAGGAGTTCACTTGGGAGGAGCCTGTCTAGTCATCCTTGGAACCGAAAGGAGTTAGTGTGCAGCTCTACTAGGGACATCAGCTTGTAAGAGGCCCTGGGAGGAGTTGCCTGTGCAATCGATTTCAATGATTTCAGCACCCAGATGCACCGTTCACAAGTTACAAAGGGTGGTTTTCCTCCAACTGGCAAACCTGAGAGCTTGACTTGGGATCCCAGAATAAAGCTGGACTCCTTCCTTCTTGTGCATTAGCAGCAGCAATCAAGTCTCTGCAGGCCAAATTAGGTCTTCAGTGACACCTGTGTGATCTCTCCCCCCTCCCTCTCCTTCATTAGGGTAGGACGGATACAACTGATGGAAACTTAAACACTTCTGCTGAGGCCCAAGAAGGCAGAGTCCAGCTCACGGCCCTGTGGCTGTGTTCTCTGCAGGGCAAAGAGGGGTAAAAAGGCAGCAAACCCCTAGTTTATACACAGATCAGCAGCTACAAATGAATAGGCACAAGACGCAGATCTCTTGAATACGACAGCAACCTTTTTACACAGTCACCTGTCAGAGTAGAGCTGAACATTGAGGACTTGTGGAAACACAAAAGAAAACTGCAGAATAACGCAGTATCTCCCTAACCAGCCAACAATGCACAATCCGCTTACTAGTTCAGGGGCCGCTGTGAGGGAGATCTAGCATCGTATTCACTGATGAAGGAAGCTCTCCAGGCCAGATCCCTCAAAGGTAGTTACAGTTCTAATTTCCATTGAAATCATTGAGGAATGGGGCCTTACTCACTATAGGAGAAGTTGCCATGGGCGTAACTGCATGCTCTGCCATATAAGGTATTTACCGGGAAAGCAGTCAGAGTTTAGATAACGTATAAAATATGATCGGAACGGCAGCGCTGTTTCCATGGCATGGAAAGCGTAAGATAGCGTGACCCAGCACACCAGATCGGTCTTCCAAGGCATCATCTTCAAGGAAAACATGGAGCAGAACTGGTGTTACAGTGGCTTTTTAGATTGTAAGTTCTCTAGGACAGGATATGTCAGTACAAAGCATATCCCCCTGGGACCCTGATCTCAGCTGGGGCCTCTAGGTGCATCTGGTATGAATAAATAAATAAATACATACTACCACCGCCTAGCTCTTCTGCAGTGTTTCTATCAGTAGAGCTCAAAGCATTTTACAGAGGACGTCGGTATCATATCCCCATTTTGCAGGTCTCCTGAGTCCCGTTCCAGTGTTCTAGCCACTAGGCCCTCTGCCCTGCAAAGATCACTTTCCAAGGGAATTGCAGATCTGTGTAACCCTTGTATCTGGCCTTTTGGACCCCAGTAAAGGGTAAATTGTGGTGTCAATCAAGTGTCTTTGGTTACAGAATAAATACAAATCCAGCTCAAGCCCCCCACCTTAGAGACACTTCCTGATAAGCACAGAAGTCCAAGAAAACAAAATACAGGGAGGGAGTGCAAAAAAGTGAGATAGGCATGGGTGCTTCCCCCTTCAGCCAGGGATGGGCAGAGAGATGTGAAGGTCCCAAGGTTGCACCTTGCTAAACCAATTTAACGCCAAACGGTAAAGCCTGGTCATTCCCCATAGCATCAGGACATAGTACCCAGATAGGAACACAGGAAAACACACCTAATGTCCCCCATTACCGTCCCATCTGAGCACCTCTCCAGCTACAATGCATTTCTCCTCATGCCCCTGTGAGGCAGGGCAGTACTATCTTCCCCATTGTACAGATGGGAACTCAGGCACTGAGAGATGAGGTGACTTGCCCAGGGTCACACAAGACGTCTGTGGCAGAGCAAGTCTTCCAAATCCTAGTCTAGCGTCTTACCCACTGGACCATCCTTCCTCTCTACCCAATTGCATACAGCAAGTGCCTGCTCCTTAGCACAAGGAAACTCGGTAGCCACCTCACAGGTGCAGGCAATGAAAGGTTCTTGCCGAGTGACACTGGTGTTGGTATCATCAACCAGGTAACCATCTGCAATTAACTTTGAACGAGACTCACCAGAGCAGAATCCAGGGCTTGGCAACAGGAACCTGGAGACAACCAAACAAAGCGGAGCGTGAAGGGAAGGAGCCAACTGGCCCCCGGCACTCCTTTCTCCCCTGCCACTGACCGCCTTCTTCACTGCCGGGGCGTGGCACTGCACAGACCCGCTCTCCTGTCTCAGTTCTGACTGCTGCTTTGCCCAAAGGAAGCTGCCTCCGCCCCCCCAGTTCCTTTAGGTTCCTGAGGGCGGGGCAAGGCGGCTGACAATAGGGCAAAGAACCTGTCCGTCAGGGATTGCTGGCTGGCCAGCAAAGCCAGGAGAGCGCGTTTGCCACTCACTGGGCTTCCCCGGTTCAAGCTGACGCTACGCTTTGGTCTTAAGAGCACGTCGACGGTCGTTGCAGGCTGTGTGATGATTCACTCCGCTTAAAGACAACCGCCTGGCTCTAGTAAAAATAGACCCTGGCTTGCTCCGGTGCGCTGGGCAGGAAAGGCCAATCCCCCCAGCGGGACGTCGAGCAAGAGGGTAGACACCAAGAGTGCAATGAGGGGGTAGGCAGACGGTAGCTGTGTGCGCTCAGCCCACAAGCTGTGCCCTTCGGGACTGGTTTATCTGGAGGGTGGCCTGACTCATGGGCAGGGGCGGCTCTAGCTTTTTTGCCGCCCCAAGCACGGCAGGCCGGCTGCCTTCGGCGGCGTGCCTGCGGGAGGTCCCTGGTCCTGCGGCTTCGGCGTACCCTCCGCCGCCGATGCCGCAGGACTGGCAGACCTCCCGCCGGCTGGCTGACTGTCGCCCTCGCAGGGACCAGCAGGGCAGCCCCCGCGGCTTGCCGCCCCAGGCACGCGTTGGAGAGCTGGAGATGTCCTCTAACGGACCCACCTGCTGCTCCACCAGCGTCACCGCGCTGAAGAACTGCTCCTGGGGGAGACCGACACACTTTTGGCCCCAGACGCGAAAAAGCTGCCAAATAAGCCAGGGCGACACTTCGTGTTGCAACATCAGTAGCGCTATTGCCTCTGAGAGACCTTTCGGCCTAGCTCAACTATAGTAATTGGTTTAATATCAGATGCTTCCCCGCGGAGCGGCCTGGATATGGCGGAAGGGCGCAGGGCCCCTCCAGTTACTCTGACGACAGACTCCGAGGTTACTGCACGGAATCAAGGTTTTACGGCACAACGAGACCCAGAGCCACATGAGACGTCCTGTAGAAATATCAGCGTGCTGCTGTGCGAGGAGACGCGCAGTGACTCACTGGTTTCCAAGGTCAGACTTCTAGCAGTTGAGCCAGATGGATCTATCTGTGTCGCTGCCATACCCATGGCAGGGAGATTGGGGCATTACGCACCAGCAGGATGTGTCCGTAAAGGCCACCTTGCACGGCCGTTCTGGGTTTCAGCTGCTGTTACTTCCGGTGAGGAATTCTGGACAGCTCCATGAGAAACAGGGGTGGGCTGTTCTGCTGTAGTCAGTCGGGGCGACCTGCACAGCCGACGGGTTTTGCACTGCGCTCTGAAAGCGGTCGGACACATCCTCGGGCCTGGCAGGAAGGGATTCCACAGCCACGCGGGCCCTGCTCAAAACATCCGGCCCTCAGGGACAAAAGAGATGAAGGGAAAAACAATACAAGGCCAATGGCTGCACCCTTAGAAGGCAAGAGCGGAGGTCACTTTTGTTTAGAGTACTTATACTTCTCTTTCTTACTGTATTTCAATGTCTACATGCTAGAGCAAATACATAGAGGTAGGACGGCCATGTGGTTAAGGCACTGGATTGAGACTCAGAAGATCTAGGGGCAACTTCCTGGCTCTTCCACAGACTCCCTGGCTGACCATGGGGAAAATCACTTCACCATGACGTGCCTCAGTTTCCCCTCTTTACAACGCTGTCTTACCTCGCAGGGGTGTTGTGAGGGTTGATACATGAAATGTGTGCACGATGCTCCGACACTATCACTATTATTATTCTAATCAGGGACCCCGTTGTGCTTGGTGCTGTCCAAACAAAAGATGGGGCCCCCTTAAGCATCAATCTAGGTCAGACAGAAGACCCAGCCACGAAGTTAATCACGTGATTAAAATTAAGCGTCTGCTCAAGTTCACCCGTATTCAGCAAAACACCTCCACACTTGGGCTTCATTTTAATCACATGCTTCAGAGCCACTGAAGTCAAAGGGACTTAAGCGCTTGCTTTTGTGCTTTGCTGAATCAGGGCCCCAGTCAACCATTTAAGATACAGGCAAGGGTGAGACCCAACCAGGGAACGTTCTTGCCCAAGGAGCATAGACGCCGACTCTGTGGGTGCTCTGGGGCTGGAGCACGCATGGAAAAAAATTGGTGGGTGCTGCTCCCCGCTCCGCTCCCCCTGCTCCAGCTCGCCTCCACCTCCTCCGCGAGCGTGCCGCCGCATCTTGCTTCTCCCCCCTCCCTCCCAGCGCTTGCGTCACGAAACAGCTGATTCACAGGGCAGGGAGGGAGCGGGGGGAATACGCGGCGAGCTGGGGGAAGAGGCGGGCTGGGGCGGGGATTTGCGGAAGGGATCCAAAAGGGGCAGGGAGGGGGCGGAGTTAGGGCGGGGACTTTGGGGATGGGGTTGGAATGGGGGCAGGGCAAGGGTGGGGTTGGGGCGGGGAAAGGGGTGGGGCCAGGGGTGGGGGCACCCACCGGCGCCAGAGAAAGTTGGCACCTATGCCAAGGAGGAGTAAGATGTTCGCACGATTACCCCAGCAGAGCAAGGAAGCCAGCATTAAATGCTGAACAGGGCGCTACGAGGCCTTTCTGCATTGGACCCAAACAACAGACCCAGGCCTGGCTTTTAAATATCTGAGTTTCTTTATTAACCTGAGTATAACAAATATAACATGTACACAGTATAAAAATGACCATAGAGCATGAGAGGGTTATGGGTACAGCACAGATACGTGATCTATACACAGGAATGGGCGGTAATATATTAAGCATTTCGTTGTTTGGAAAAAAGCAAGTTCTGATCTGTAAAAATTTTCAACCCATTCCACTGAAATTATACAAAGTACCTTCAATACTTAAAAGTGACTGGAGGGAGGCAGGAGAGGTCTCCGTTCTGCCCATGACTGTTACCCTGGCCCGGGAACGTACAACGCCAATGCAGCGGTTTCTCCGGGTTGGCGAGTTTTTAATAAAATAAACTAATTAAATTAAAAGAGTACAAAGGTTTAAAAGCATGTGAAACATGCACCCTCCGGAAACCGGCAACATGCAGACAACACCGAGGCTCCCGGCGCTACGCTGGCTCCGAGCTGAGGGGAGGCAGATTTTGATGCTTGAAATACTGAACGACTTGCTGGGGGAGTTCTGCCAACACCGCTTTGGCCAAAGTTTCTTTAGGTGCCTGTATAAAAAAAGAACAAACAGGCCCAATGATTTCTTGTGCCCAGCAGCTGCCCCAGCGGGTCCCTGGGCTGGTATTAAGGCCCATGTACAATTACCAGGGTGGGTGTAGGCCCACCTACGGTTACCAGGTTTTCATGCAAGCCCAGGTGCTGGTAGAGAAGGTAACTGTTGCCACGGTGGCTTTAGATCACGCCCACTCACCACTACAATGGAGGCCAGCGGGGCTGATACGTTAGAGAATGTGCCTTGGTATCCTGCCTCTCTTTCTCCCGGCATCCCAAAGCACTTAGAGAGTTGAGTCAGACGGTCACCCTGCAGTGACTGCGTGGGCAGTATACACTCGCTAATAGCTCTCACACAGCCTCGGACAGCAGCAGCTGCTCTGAAGGGAGAAGGGATGGTGGCCGGGACACTGGGACTATCCTCACAGCGCTATTGTACGGGATTGCTTGCTGGACAGCAGGAACTTCACGTTAGCCCCCATGGAGTCTGAAATGCCTCCATGCAGAGGAGGCAGAATTGCCTAGTGGTTATGACCCAGGTCTGGGAGTCAGGGATTCCGGGTTATAACCCCAGCTCTGCCACCAACCTGCTTTGTGAGCTTGGGCAGCGTCACTTACGCTCTCTTTGCTCCGGCCTGCAAAACAGATGCAAGTGGCAAGCCTTGCTGCCCAGACTCACGCTTATCTGCGCTTTGATTTTGCTGGCAGTCTGGAAAATGCTGGTAACGTCCCCAACGTCTCATCGGCAGCGATGCACCACGTGAGAACTGCGTAGGACTCCCAGTCTAGCAAGAGGCCTCTGACTCTGAGCTGGGCGTGCTACCAGCTGCACCACACAGCCTAAGTACCTAGAATGCTCTACAGCACTAAACGTATGAGCCTCTCCCCTCCTCTTTAACTAGGGAAATAAACAGAGCACGCCAGCTCTGGGGCAGGTTCCCCCTGGGATGGGTCTCTGTGGCTGACTTACACCCTACTGGAAACGGACCAGGTCTGGCAGGCACAGCAAAGCCTCCTGCACTTACGCTGCGGAACTCGCGGAAGGGAACAAACTGCACAATGTCCCGCATGGCTTCCTCGCCGGTGTACGACCGGAGCACGCGGTTATCCCCATCCAGGAACTCCATGGCTGCAAAGTCCGCGTTGCCCACCCCCACGATGATGATGGACATGGGCAGCTTGGAGGCCTGCACCACGGCGTGTCTCGTCTCGTCCATGTCGCTGATGACGCCGTCCGTGATGATCAGGAGGATGAAGTATTGCTGGGGAGACAGAGCCGAGAGTGAAATCAGACGCGGCGCTACAGGTAGGTTATGGGCTCCAGGCTTCTCCCAGCCCCGTGCACTCCCCCGCAAAGACTTGCTCGATGGGGAGAGGAAAGGGTGAACACGAACATAGCCCCAGCCCACGTGACTGGGCGATTGCAGTGCTGAGAGATTGCAGATGTCTTTCCCTTATGATACGGGCATGTCAAGAGCCTAAGTGATTTAGGAGCATAAGCACCACTGACTCTCAATGAGATTCACTTTCAATGGGACTTGCGCTGCTATATTACTTTGAAAACCCCACCTGTAGGTGCCTGAACATAAAATTTGCAACCTAACTTTAGGCTCCTATTTCAGAAAATTTGGGCCAGTGTCTCCTCACGATCCAGCTATACCCATCCTCCATCAACCCACTGCTCCGAAGCCCTGTAGGCCCCTTACTCACCTCCTCAGACCTCTCTCCCCCTCATTCGCCAGGAGACTCGGTCTCCTCCGAGTTGCTTTACACTCCTGCAACCACCCTTCCATGAGGAAGCACCTCAAGCCAACATCTCTCCTGGTCACTGGTCGCCCACCCAGCCACCTCCCTTACGGTTTCCTCACTGACTCTCTGGACATTTGCTCCCACCCTACCCACATCTCCACTAAAAATGGCTGACTCACCCAGAGGAAAGCCCTGAGACTGAAGCCACCCCTGGGTTAGCACCCTCTACCGCACCCATCTCCCGGCTTCTAAGAACTATCTAGTTCCCAGGTGTCACCCGCCTAGAAGCTGGTCTGTTTTCAAAGCGTTCCAAATGCACCTTTGCACAACTGGTCCCGAGTCTCCTATGAAACTTAGTACAATTCTCGTGATCTTTATTCACTCTCACCCTCTTCCCTTCCTCTTGTATTGCTCGTTGCCTGTGTTTGTTCCATTAAGACAAACAGGTCAGAGCTGTGGCCGTTTAATCTTTGTTAAGTGGACATTTGATAAATATTCGATACCTGTAGCAGAACCATTAGTGGAGCCACTGGGTGAAACCAATTCTTGTGAGCCCCTGGGATCTGCAGTGTTCAATTGCTTTGGGGAGGCAGTGTGGCATAGTGGATACTGCACTAGACTGAGACTCTGCCACTGGCCTGCTGGGGGCCTCAGTCTCTGTGCCTCAGTTTTCCCCTCTGTAAAATGGGGACAGTGATCCTGGCCTCCTGTATAAAGCACTTTGAGCTGCACTGATGAGAAGAGCTAGAGATTGTTATTAACAAAATTTGCCCCATTTCAGTGCGAGTTTTGCCTCCATCACAGGGAGTTCAAGAGTCAACTTTGCTCAAGGGGTGAGAGAAGCAACATGAGTCAAAACCCAGACAAACCCAACCTGGTAATTTACACGCTGCTCTTCTCCATAGCCCATTACCGATCCACTGGGCTAGACAGTCCACATCTCCCCAGCTTGCTATGCCATTGACTGGACTACGCAACTTCCATCCATTCTATTCACCGAGGGCAAAATCGCCGTGAGCAGAAAGCCAGCAAATGACCCGAGTATCACTCCAGCTCTCAATAAAGGGTTTACAATGGCCTGAGCGGTATGTCTACACTGCAATTAAACAGCCCATGTCGGCCGACTCTGGCTTATGGGGCTGTAAAATTGCAATGTAGATGTGCACCAAGCTTTGGGATCCCACCAGGAGTCCACGGGCTGTGTGCCGACCCTCTGCCCAGGGGTGACTGTCATAGCCAGCTCCTGATGCTATAGCAGCGAGCAAACACCACGTGGTTCCAACTCAACTGTCTACGGTCAACCTTCCCCACTCCCACTGGGTCAGTCCATTGTTTCTAAAAGGAAAAAAACCCAAATGGCACGTGAGCTGATTTTCAGTGGCACTCACACTGCTCGGGTCCTGGCCACCAGTCCGGGGGCCTCTGCATTTTCATTTAATCTTAAATGAAGCTTCTTCAACATTTTAAAAACCTTATTTACTTTACACACAACAATAGTTTAGTTATACATTGTAGACTTATAGAAAGAGACCTTCTAAAAATGTTAAAATAGAAATTAATGGAGATACCCCATTTCCTAGAACTGGAAGGGACCTTGACAGGTCATTGAGTTGAGTCCAGCCCCCTGCCTTCACTAGCAGGACCAAGTACTGATTTTGCCCCAAATCCCCAAGTGGCCCCCACAAGGATTGAACTCACAACCCTGGGTTTAGGAGGCCAATGCTCAAACCACTGAGCTATCCCTCCCTCCAAAAGCTCATTAGAACCATAGAATATCAAGGTTGGAAGGGACCTCAGAAGGTCATCTAGTCCAACCCCCTTGTTCAAAGCAGGACCAATCCCATACAAAAATGTATGACTGGCACGCAAAACCTTCAATTAGAGTGAATAAATGAAGACTCGGCACACCACTTCTGAAAGGTTGCCGACCCCTGCTCTAGGCCTCTACTCCTTGGGCCAACATCATCCTCCGCGTAAACTCCAGGAAGTCAGCTATATTGGAAATAACCCTAGCCCCACGTCCTTGGTGAGTACTCCCCTGGACTTACAGCCATCGCTCGCTATATTCAGCACCAGGACAATGTCATGCAGTTCTAGGGTGAGTCATATCCAGCATCAGAACTATTTCATGCAGTTCTGTGGCGAGTGAAAGAGAGTGTGTGTGTGTGTGTGTGTGTGTGTGTGTGTGCACACACACACACACCCCAGTGAAAATGGCTGTGCAATTGCAAAGAGGTCGGACACCCTCAAGGTGGATGTGAATTTGCTTATGACATTTCCATGACAACGTCATTCCAAGTGGTGCAAGATGACTCAGTGATGCACAAGCATTTGAGCTCTTCCCCCCTTCCTTAAGCAGGCCGGAAGAGATTACCTGACAGAGCGAGAGCCGTGATTTCTCTCCTATCAACCTCCAGCGCTGCCAGCGGAGATGTAACAGCTTGAGACAGAGGCCCTGCTCTCTGTGTCACTTCTAGTTAAGGCAAAACTTTGGTGCAGAAATGGAGAAATCCCATTCAAGTCAGTTATCATTCGGCTGCTTCTGGTACGTCCTAAATTGCCAGTAAAACACAGAGGACTGAGCCCATGTGCCAGGGTTTGACTGTATTTCAGACCAGACTCACTCTCTTCATGAGAAACAAACCCCATATAAGTAAAAAACAGTTCATTTGAGCTTAGAAAAGGCTTACTGACACAGACCTACCCAGACCAATGATTAGATCAGACCAATGGGACCCATACCGTCTAGTTTATTAGTAACACCCAAATCCATGTG